GTGTTCAAGAAACATGGAGATGTAGCACTGAGGATCATGGCTTGGTGGGCATGGTGCGGGGGTGGGTTGACAGTTGGATGTGATGATCTTAATTCTCTTCCAACCTTAATGATTCTGTCGTGAAGCACTGTCACTGTTACCATGCCTGATTTTTGTCTTTAGAATGGTAAGGGTAGATAGCTAGATACAGAGGCAGAAAATATTTCACTGTTTCTTGTAGAATCAGAGATTACTCTGGGGAAGAAAAGTGCAGTCTAGGTGTTCAGAAAAGAAAGGAACAGTTTAAAGGAAAGGTGCTGTATTAATGTCTTGTATACAAGCTTGAAAATATTGTTGTGATACAGCAGTGTATCATGTCTGAATCTACTTATTCGTACTAGCTTGCCTGCTCCAAAAGAGGCAGTGCTGATGAGGCTGCATTGTATTAATGCAAAGTAACATTATCGTTCAGTTGTCTGTACTTAGCAAGTGCTATACAGGAAAAAAAATAACCTCAGTGCAGCTTCCCTGTTACTTAAATTGCTTAATGTAATTTGAATAAAGTGCTAATAACAAAATATAGAATACTTTTATACAAAAATATTTTTGAAGTGGAGTTTTTTTCTAGTATCTTCATACTGTAGAAATCTAGCTTATATTTAACTCCTCTGTCTTGAAAGCACTGTCCTAACTTAAAAGTGCATGTCTAACAGGCATCTATTTGTGTTAAGGCTGTAGAATTGCATGTTTTGCCTTCTGTGGTCATGCTTTCAGCTGATGCCTTGAAACAAGCAGTTATGTGAAGGTGGTAACTTTGAATTCTTTTTGTCCATTTAAAATTGCAGTGAGCACTTACCTAGCTTTTCTTACGCCTACTAAACATTGATACAGTAGTACAGTAGACTCAAGTATTTCAATTTGGCTTTTTCATGCAAATTCACTAGAGGGCAGTGTTCTGCAAGAAATGTTTGTCAGACTAATTTGTGTTTTGTGCAAGATTCTATGTATGTGTATATACACACACCTTTTAAAACACCTCAGTGATATGAACCTGTCAGATAGAACATGTCCTTTCTGCCATTCTGTACAAGTACTTCTTGTAACTTAAAATCACAAACGTAATTCTTAATATTTAATGTACATAACAGTTATAGTGCTGTTTGTGTACTAAGATCAGAATCCTTATTTTGACAGTTGAACAAAATAGTTGTAGACAGTGAAACAATCAGCTTAATAGCTGCCTTTTTTCAGTCAATTTTTCACAACCAGCTTTCAGTCCTTTGACTTTCCTAAAGATAACTGCTGCATTTCAGAGTTTTTTCCTATGCTTATGACCAACTTGTGTGCCTGTGGCTGGTCTGGTTGCTTACTAGGTGTTTCTACCTTCATAACATGCTTTAGAAGTATTTTGGTGGCTTGTGCAATTTTAAAATATTAGATTGGCGGTTATGATTCCCAATGGCAAACCTCTCTGGGTATCTTTAATATCAAGTATTTATCACACAGAATCACAGAATCACCCGGGTTGGAAGGGACCTCAAGGATCATGTAGTTCCAACCCCCCTGCCTAGCAGGGCCACCAAACGTACACATTCAGATCAGGTTGCCCAGGACCCCGTCCAACCTGGCCTTGAACACGTCCAAGGACGGGGCATCCACAACCTCCCTGGGCAGCCCGTTCCAGGGCCTAACTACTCTCCTTGTGAAGAACTTCCCCCTAACATCCAAGAACTTCCCCCTAACATCCAAACATCCTTTATCCTTGAAGGTACTTGCTTTTTGCAACTTTTGTAAATGGGATTTTTATGATTTAGCTCAACTGCACTTTCTATTTTGTGGTTATGAGTCACTATTAACTTACCTGATAACTAACTAGTGAGACAGTAATGCCTTATGTAGCCATAGTCTATGGGATTTTGGCAGCTCTATAGAGTTCTAAGATGCTGAATCTACAAAAGGCAGGAGTAACAACAGCTGCTTATTTCACAGAATAACAAAATCGTAGGGGCTGGAAGACACCTCCAGAGATCAAGTCCAGGCCCCCTGCAGTAGGCTGCGTGGGTAGGTGTCCAGGCAGGTCTTCAGTATCTCCAGAGAAGGAGAATCCACAACTTCCTTGAGCAGCCTGTTCCAGTGCTCCATCACCTTACTGTGAAGAAGTTCCTTCACATATTGGTGCAGAACTTTTCCATTTTATGAGCATTTCCCTCTGTCCTGCCTCCACAGATGGCTGAGAATATTTTTTAATTTGAAAATATTTCATTTTGATTTTTGCAATGTGAACATTTTAGCCAGATCCCTTGTTGACAGGGTAGGAAGGAAAGGAATGAAGGAGGATTGAAGACTAAACAAACTGAAGTAATGCTAATGTAATCCCTGAAGTAGTATCTTAGTGCTCTCTGAAGTACAGAATAAATTTGCGTTCTGTGATGCAGTGAGGGAACAACTAGGATATGATTTTTATTGTTCTTCAGTGCCTACTGATATTACAGTATAAACAATATTGAACTAATTGTTTCACTTCTATGAATAACAGACAAGTTTGTCTTCAAAATTCTTTACTGTTTAGATTTGTTTAGAGGATAGATGTGCTTTCTTTTGTATAAGTTACTCTTATCTGTTAGAGCTGGAAACCACCTACTTCAGGAAATCTATGAAGCTTTAATATATTGAACTTCATCTATTTAATGATGCAGTATGTATTACCTGTGGGCAGACTATCAAATCAGAGTGAAATGGCTCTTTAACATTGGTGCCTCTCTGTACTTTATGGGTAGTAAGCTGTTAGGATTTAAAACTTTTTTAGCTCTGAAGCAGATCAAAAGAGGTTTTCTCTTATATGAATCATTTGTGGGGGCACAATAGGAGAGAATCTTCTCTGAAATTATTTTTAGCCATAAACTTAGTTTTGTGACTTTTTTTTTTTTCCTCCTCTACCCCCGGTCTAAAATGAGACTTTAGTGAAATCAGGCATTATTTAACAGCTTTGGTAGCATCCCAGAGCCATGGAAGACCTAACCTTAAAGCACGTATTATCAGATTAAAGGCATATTATCAGGTTGAACAGTGTCTAAGAACAGATTCAGTTCACTTTGAAAAACTAATGTGGAAATACCATATGCTGTAATTACTGGTTGTAATCTTTTACTCATCTTTACTGCTTCACTCTTCATGGGGCAGTTCTTCTCATCTGACCTAATGTTTCTAGGCACAGGTTGTCTAAAAAGTCCTAGAAACTGTTGTTTCATTGGTATAAGTATGCAGGAACTAACCATGTTTTATCAATTTGAGTGTAAATTAACATCAGCTTGTGAGTGTTAAAACTTTGTTCAGGGCAGGCTTATTCTGCAGCCTAAAGAGAAATGCATCCCTGGAGCAGAATTAGCAGATGCAGCTGAGACTTGATATACCACAGAAGATGACTTGTCCTTCTGTCTTCATTCTATATATCAATATCTTGAAGGACCAGTATGTCTTACCTTTCCCCAGTGATCAGAGAATTTGGTAATCATCTGTCAATATCTATAACTAGGATAAGCTTGATGTTCAAGTATATAATTCACATTGGGAACAAAACAAATTAAGTTCCTTTAATTTGCTGATGGCTTTTTAGAAATGTAGGCTTAAATTTAGAATTCTGATTTATATACCAATGTTGTCTTCTGTAGCACTTTTTTGAAAAGCAGATGGAAGTCTTCTGGTGGAATCAACTTGTTTCTAGTCTTAGTTTGTAAAATTGTGTAAACCTACTGTCATAGCAATCTCTAAATGTGTTTCTGTAGACTGAGTCTATTTGGCTACAATTGGGAATGGTTTTGATTCCACAGTGGTCTTTACTTCATTCTGGTTAGGAATTAAGATGGTATGCTTATATATTAAATTATTGGGCAGCCAGACTTAAATGGAGTTTGCTTGGGCTGGTATGGATCTGTTTCCCCTTGTCTCCACAGACCACTGAAAAGAGGTTTGCCATGTCTCTTAAATGTGTAGAGACATAGGCAAGTGGGAAGACTAGGCTAATGAGCGCAGCATTTATTCATGGTGAGATCTGGCTGACAGAGGAGTGATTTTGCTGAAAGGACCTGCAAAATAGCCAGGTGAATGTTAGCTGGTGGTATGGCAGCAGAAAGGCAGTGTCCTGGGCTGTATCAGCAATAGAGGGGTGATGACTCCACTGTATCTGGCACTTCTAAAGTCATATGAAGTCAGTATTAATGTCTCTGTTTTAGAAACTGGAAAATGGAAGCCTAGCTAAGAGAGATTTTCTGGGGAGTCTGCTTTTCTGCTCATCTAGATGGCAAAGTAGTTTGTTCTCTAAGAAGATTACAACTGTCCAGGTGCATGGCCCAGATTTCCCAATGGAGCTGACTCTAGCCTATTCATTTCAAATTCATTTCAGAATCTGAAATCTTAATCTTATGTGTAGACTTGTGTGTTTGTGTAGTTGTGTTCAAACCAAAATGCTTTAGAAAGCATGAAATTGCTTCCTGCTGTTATGAGCCTGTGATAGAAGTTGTCTTCCAGTGTATGTCTGTGTGTGTATTGCTCCTATACTTAAGAAGCTTTAATGTAGGAACTGAAGTTGCTAGCTGCCTTTTGTGATTAAGGGGGATGAAATTAAACTCGATTTGCAAGTCTATAAGAAAATGTTTTTAATATTTGGTGAAACTTCCCTTGGAACTGTGGAGTAATGTTATTTGTAGAGCAAAGCTGAACTTGAGTTTAGTGGCAGATACTTATTGTGTAATGACTGTGGAATTAAATAGTTAATGTTTTTTGACCAAAACCCAGGAGTTAAGTTTAGAAGTTTTCAGTAGGTTATGGTTATAGAAAGTCTTATAATATTCTGAGGGATTCTGGAACCTGCATAATGTTTATAATGCTTTGCTAAAATATTAACAGAACTGATTGCTTTAGAATGTGATTATGGAAGGGAGAGAACAAACCAGTGATACCTTACAGCTACAACATACAGTTGGCTGAACAGGTGAAAACATGAGTGTCTGTTTTCTTTACTTTAGGCTTATGGTATGTCAGCATTGCCTCTGAACTTGATTAAGGGAACTACCAGTGCAGCTTATGAACGTTTGGAGAACACTGAAGATATTGAGGAAGTGGAGCAACGGATATTAAGGATTAAGTCAAAGGTATCAACTTTACTGTTCTCAGTTACCTAAGTATCTTTTTTCTTGGTTAGCTTGTCAGTTGATGGTCATATTAAGTAAATTTGTGTTCCAGACAAAGCTAGCAAGCAAGAAGTGATTAGCTTGCTATTTTGGAGTTATTTTGAAAGAAGTATGGCTAGTAGTATAATAGAGACTGACAGCATTTTTTTAGTCCACCAGCTGCAGTTGTTTATACTTTGTTAATAATGATGCTGAGGAGCTAAACTCAACCTTCTCCAGTCCTGTTTAGATATATAGAAGACACATTTTGTAGAGGTTAATAACATTAACTTCACTTAGCTTGCTACCAGTTAGAGCACCTACTCAGTGTAGTTAATCAATGCTGGGTACTTGCCATATAGAGCTGCCATGAGTTTAGGTTAGATTCATCAAAATATTAATCATCTTTATGAATAAATAACAGCTCCAAATATTCTTGCTTCCCAGTTAATGTACTTTGCTGTTATAAAACATTTGTGAAATGTATATGAATGGAAATCAGTTCTGAATCCTAAACCTCTTCAGGTTGTAATACCATTTGTAAACCACTGATGGCTTTGCAGCTCACTACGGTGTTGTACATTGTATAAGACAAAAGTTCTAAAAAGTATAGTGCAAGCTGAGCAGAGAATATTTCTCCTGTATGTACAAGATCCCTCACATTTTTCAATCCATTTGAGATAATGGTTTGATTAGTAATCTTCCTAATCCTGAGTCATGGTTTGTTGTAACCTAATCTTTTCCACCCCAGCACTTTAATTCTGGTAGTCTCTATTCTGTTAGAGCTGTTATGTGAATTGAAATACTGGATTCCTAGCAGTGTTGAAATGGTTCTGACATTAGCACTTGGCTACCTCTATGTAGTGCAGATCCCTTAAATGCTGTATGAGTATTGTGTAATGAAATGTAAAAAGTAGTTTTCTATGGTATAACTTGGAAAGCTGTGGGCAATGGCTGGGGCAAAGGCACCTCTCCTTACTGGAATAATGAGAATAATACACCCCTGGAAAGTCAACTATTGCTTGTTGCAGACTATTGGATTACAGAAGTTTGCTGGTACCTTTTGTTAACTAGATTTCATCAGATAATTAGGATCAAAAAGCAGGGTGTCTTTGTTCTAATTATTTCTGTGTTTTCATCTAGTCATCAGTAAGAACTAATTTTTCATTATTTGAGTTATGGTCAAAATTGTGCCTCTGATTAGTTCCAAACTTCATGGTGTGAATTTTGTCTAAAGTGATTTGTTGTAATTCAACAAGCAGGGTATAAACTCTGTTCATTCCATTGATTCAGTGTTCCCTGATCTTTTGCACTACTTTTCTGATAATCAGTGCAGAGATGGTCGACCTCTATCATCAAGGGATAGACGAGCTGTTCAACAACTAGAGGAGAGACTAAGGACGCTTCGAAGGAGAGAGAGGCATCTGGAAACCATTGAGAAAAGTTGGTGGTTGAAGTTCTGTGAAGCTATCCGACCTCTGAAGGTAAGAAGTTGTTATGCTTTTTGTGCATTAGGTTGCATGTGATAGCTTTCAGCTTCGTTCTTTTGATTACTCTGAAATAAATGCCTCTTATTTTTGTGGAAATTACAACTATTAGAAAGAACACTGTTTGATAGAGCAATTTCTCAACTACAAAACACTATTTTTCATGATGGCTGCCACCATAAGCTATGCATTTTTGTCAGTGATGAACAAGATCATATTTGCCATGCTTGTGTTTAAAAACTTGTGCCAGTGCACCAGCAGAGGTGATCTACTGTTGCCACTCCTGATACGCACCACCCACTGCCTCACTGTGCTCACATCTGCTGTTTGATCTTCCTGTATGTTCAGTAGGTGTCACTGAATGCCAGTGGTTGCAATTTTTCTGCATGGAGGAATTCAGTCACACACCTTTGCTTCATACACATGTCCATGTCAGACATTTTGTCAGACTGCTGCTCTGCTGCCATTTGTCACACAGCCACAAAATATAATGGAATATTGTGGGAATGTTTAATCTCCATTGTTATACCACCAACACCCACCTCTGGCACTGTGGGCCAGTGTAATAAAATAGGAAACATTACTTTTGGAGCAGCCCTCAAATGAAGTTCATCAATTACCATGTTGAATATCAAATGCTTAATATTAATATAATACCCCCATCAGATGCTACAGAAAGTAGATGAGGAAAAATCTATATTCATGTAGACTTATAATAATGTACATCTAAATAAAAAATCTAGGTATCTAACTTTACAGGCAATATTCCCATGTTGTTTGCAGCCTTTAAATACAAGCATAAGAAATACAGGCACGTAGAGTTGCTGTAGTTTTGTGTAACCCTAAGGGATATTTTTAATATTGCAGAATGTAAAACTGTAAGAAGGCAAGTCACTTAATCACTAAAATATAAGATCTAAAGTTTGGCTAAGCTAGTTAGTTTGTTTGGAGCTAATAGGGGCTTTGCTATTTGTTGTCAGCTTGTTCAGCTGTTTCCATTATTGACAAAACAGAAAACATTAATACTTGGACTGCTTCTAGATCAGACTTGCATATGCTTTATTTTAATTACTTTTTGTTATCCTGCAAAGAAAGTGGTTTGTTGAATAGATTATATGGTGTTAAAGGTGGAATATAGCTGCTGTTTGTTCCTCCAGCCTTCTCACTTAAGAGAATTCCAGTAGCATGCATTTGTTTCTTTATTTCAATTCTGCTTCCTGTTCTGCAGCTCTTGAAGGGGAAAAAAAAAAAAACACAACCACACAAAAACTGGATAGCTGCTGATTTGAGTATTGTGGTCACCAACTTTTGTTTTTCATATGGTAGTTTCTTACAGCTGCCAGGCACTGACTTTTTTTTCCTGCACTGTGTCTGCAATAGGATGAGTGTCCTGCTGTGGATCTGTTGGAACAAGCTGTATCCATGATATGCAGTTTCTAGCCTATTCTTACAAAATACACTTCTGTAGTCCTCTGCTAGTGAAGCCTTGCCACCTGCATCCAGTATACCAGTCTACTATCTGTCACAGGCTTTCTGTAGCCTATGTATGTGGATAAATGGTATATGTAATGTGTGCATATAGGACCTATTCAGAATAGCAAGTGTCAACAATTCTCTAGGTCAGTTTGCTTTTAATGGTTTTTACAGAAACAAGATGGACATCTTGTGTAGAGTAATAGAATAACACTTTGAATAGATCCCTGTGGCTAAAGCCTGTTTACAGTCTTGTTAAGGGTAATTGTATGACTAACAGGTTGTTGAAAACATATCTTGTAGGTATATTTACTCATCTTCTAGCAAAGGATGACTGGATTACAGAGGTGGTAATTCTGTGACCAGAAAACCCATACAGAGTGTCAGAAATGGTTACTTGTAGCCATGTTGGAAAACAAATCAAAGGACTGATATTTCTTATAGCTTGCATTGTAGTCTGTGCTGTACATGAGCAGTTAATGTTAGAGTGGTGTAACATTAAAAACAAGATATGATAAGGGAATGTGAAATGTTGTACTACGTTGCTATAGCAAATTTGGATGTTACTTTTTTCTCAAGCATATGAAAATAGGAAGAATCCTTCCTTCTTGATAAGTCAGGTAGCTTATATTAATCAAAGTTGCTTGTAGCCAGCAGAAGAGAGATGTTGACAAGAATATATGCATTTTGATTAAGCATCCTGTGAAGTAATTGCTTGATCAATAGTAAACTAGATATGTAGAACTTTTCTTGATATTCAGCCAGTGTAAAAGACTGTCACTGTGGTAAGTCTTTGATCTTAGTCTTTTGATCTTAGTTGATATATATATACACCTATTTTAGAAGGAAAAATACTTCTGTGGGACAGGATTGCCACAGTGTTTCTTAACAACTGTAGGGTATAATTTTAGCATTATGTTGGCCTGTACTTTATAGAACTGAAGATGACTGTAAGCATTTAGCTCTGCCATTGCTGCTATTAATGCTGAGTAGATGAAATTGAAGTCCAAAAGATTTCAGCTTGAAACTCGTAGCGGATAACTTAAAAACTACACCAAACACTTTCATTTGAAACAGATGTCTGTAGCTCTTCACTTCAATGGTTTTGATGTTTCCTTTGATTGAAAGTAGCTTGTAGCTCCTTCAGCTTTCTACATTAACCTTACATTTGAGAAATGTGATGGCCACATGTAGTGTCCGTACACTTGTACTTCAGTAATTGATTGTATTCTCATAGGATGGTTTACAATATCACTAGCTACACAGATTATTGCTTATGATCAGGATGATTTTCCAGTGTGTTTTATTGTTTGTGTGGTTTTATCTTCTTATTATCCTCAGTGAGTTGCTGATTTAAGAATCCCAGACTAAAACAGCAGAGCTGCAGATCAGTAATTCTTCCTGGCAAATTTTAATTTGAAGTAGGGTGCTTTAAAGCATATTACAAAACTTGTTTACTGTGACTTTTCCTAAAGCTGTCCTATGCAGGTTGTAATGTCCATCATTCTATTATTGTCTCAACTTTTGCGAAACTGTTTTACTGTTACTTCTGTAGTAATTGAGTTGTCTCCATATAACTTTTGAATGGTTCGAATTAGTGGCCTTTATGAAGAGCAGGAAATATTTTTATAGCCATATGTAATAGTCCTGATCAGTGTAGGAGTTCTTTAAAGTCTCTCAAACTTCAGATTAAACTCCTCATGTCAAATACTAGACATGGAAAGTGCTATTTCTGCTTTGTTTGGGAGGGTGAGATCTATGGGAGTTGTATTCTATCAATTTCAAAGGCCTCTGTGTTCAGAAATAACACTTGGGTTTGTTTTACAGCACTAACTCAATGTCTTCGCTCATACTTCTCAGTCTTTGTGTATTGTCCTTCTAACTCTTAATTATTTTTGTTACATATGAGTATCTATTGTGAGTTGTTGTTCAAGAAAAAGCTTCATATTCTCCTGGGGAATACATTTTCTTTACATGGACTAAAGAAAATTTTGCAAATCAGATTTGTTTTACTCAGAGCTATATAAAGGTGTATCAAACTCGGAACAGAATATACTGAGTTGGAAACGACTCACATGAAGGTGCAGGCTTTCAATTCAGACAGAATGAAGATACTGGAAGATCATGAGGACGTGAGTAGTGAGTGGCATGGAGTTATCATTTAACATCAAGCTAGTCTAGTCAAGCTAGTCTAGTTTTTCTACAAACCTAACCTTTCCTGTCAGAAGAATCTGCTCTAGCATGTGAGATCCCTGTAGACTCATATCCTGAAGGAAATAGGTGCCTTCTCTGAATGTGAATAGCTGTTCTATTGGTCTTTTCTATAGATAGCAGGGAAACTTCTACTCTGGTGCCTGGAGTACCTCCTCATTTTTCTTTTTGGCATTGGTGCTTGTAATGCTGTTGCTCACTTCTCATTTCTTTCTACTCTGACATCTTCTCACAATCACAGAATAGTCTGAGTTGGAAAGGACAGTAAAGATCATGAAGCTACAATGCCTATCCCACAAGCAGAGCCACCAACCTCCTCATTTAATACTAGACTAGGCTGCCCAGGATCCCATCCAACCTGGCCTTGAGGACCTCCAAGGATGTGGCATGCACAGCCTCTCTGGGCAGCCTGTTCCAGCACCTCACCACTCATAGTAAAGAGCTTTTCCCTGACATCCATTGTAAATCTTTCCTCCCTCAACTTAAAACCATTTCTCCTTGTCCTGCTGTTATCTACCTCTTCAAAAAGAATTGATTCCCCTCCTGTTTGTAGGCTCCCTTTAGGTAGAAAAGGCTGCAATGTGGTCACCCTATAGCCGCCTTTTCCCCAGGCTGAACAAACCCAGCTCCCTCCTCCTGTCTTCATAGGGGAGGTACTGCAGCCCTCTTATCTTTGTGGCTCTCCTCTGGACCTTCTCCAACAGCTCCCAAACTTTACTGTTTCTGAAATGGTTTCCCAGAGTTGCCATCAATGGCTGCTGGGTTTAGCTGTGCCCAGAAGTGAGGTTGTTTGGAGCTGGCAGGACCTGGCCTCTTACTAGAAGCCAACCCTCCAGCCACTGTACTCTCAGCTACTTGCTGACAGTACAATTAAGTATTACTGTTGAGAAATCCAGCTTTGTTTCTTGGTAACTGATTAATCATGTTACATTTGTGCCACTGCTTTTTTTTTTTAACTATGTTGATAGACGCCAGCCCTGAGAGAATGATTGCTCCTCTATGGCAACAGTTTACCGGCAGGTTTGGCCCAGTTCTGTGACTAGCAGGGTGCAGGGATTTTGCAAAATCCGCACCTCTGGAAAAAAGGGAATATGGGACCCCCAAAATAATTACAAACAGTGGCAATGATCTGAGGAGAAACAAACTAATTTACTAAATATATTATCGGAATGCAAGATAGCACACTATAATCAATATAATTAGAATTGAAATCAATAAATATAGTGAGAGAGAGAATGTCTGAAAGGTGGATAGGCCTCACCACAACTTTGAGGTGAGATGCGCAGTCCAGTTGAGCAGCATGGAGACTGGCGAGAGCCAGTGAAGATGAAAAAGTGCCCATCAGGTGACCTTGCCAGGAGTTCTATCTCCTTTCTGTGACCACGAAGTCCCCTGTGGAATGTAGTTCTCCTTCTCTTCAGGGCAGGTACCCAGGACTTGAGCATTAACAGTTAAACTCCCAGTGCCCCACATGATGTTATGATGTGGAATACCAAAAGTCACAAAACCATGACATTGCACCCCTTATTCTACATCACTACATTATGCTTAACATATACAAACAATAATTACCAAACATTAAACACAAGCACATGCAAACCTATATATGGGATTACTGACTGCACTCCCCCAACATCAAATTCCCTTGTGGTACACATTGGATATCCCTGTTTCTCTGCATCACCCACCATGTAGACCCAGGTCCCTAGGCAAAAACAGTGCTGTGAAGAGGTTTACTCTTCCTGGAAGCTGTAAAGACCCAAACTGCTTTTCCTAGCATGTTCTTTACATGTACTACAGGGACCTTATCTCCCTTGACAGTATGTAGGGAGCCAGCAGGACCATCACAATTTATCAGTCTTCTGGTATTGACCAACCAAGTGGCTTCTGCCAAATGCTTCTCCCAGTGCTTAAATGTTCCGCCACCCATTGCTTTCAACATGATTTTTAACAACCCATTGTAGTGCTCAATTTTACCAGAAGCTGATGCATGATAGGGGATATGATAAATCTACTTGATGCCATGATCTTTGGCCCAAGTATTTACAAGAGAATTTTTGAAATGAGTCCCATTATCTGACTCAATTCTTTCCGGGGTGCCATGTCGCCACAGGACTTGTTTCTCGAGACCTAATATGGTGTTTCAGGCGGTAGCATGGGGTACTGCATATGTTTCAAGCCACCCAGTGGTTGTCTCTACCATAGTAAGCACATAATGCTTACCATTGCGAGACTGGCAAGGTGATATGATCAACCTGCCATGCCTCCCCATATTTATATTTTTGCCATTGCCCTTCCTCCCAGGGAGGTTTCATCCTCTTGGCTTGTTTAATTGTGGTGCATGTGTCACAATCATGAATAATCTGTGCAATAGCATCCATAGTTAAGTCCACCCCTCAGTCTCTAGCCCATTTGTATGTTGCATCACGAAACCATGACATTTTAAATGTTTATTTCTTTGATATTGGTTTAAAGTCATGGAACAATTACCATAAGCTGATTCACTATTTTTTTTTTTCCATTGATATGAGTGCCACTATAGGAAGTAACTGGGCAGGCAAGGGTAAGTGTTCTAGCTTTTTGTTAGGGACATCCACCTGTTCCCATGTGGTCATGTCTACTCAGAATGAAATTGTCCTAAATTCCATGATCGTCTCAGTAACATCCAAGTTTTTCAGAGATCAAACAGTTTAGCTTCCCAGACTTCTGGGAGCAGGGATAGGATGCAAAGAATTCTCTGTATAACTCTAAAAAGGATGATGTTGTGGGGGGGTGCAAGAAGCAGCACATGCTATATGCTAATGACTGTTTGTAATGTCTACAGTCTTGCATAAAAATGTGGTACTCTTTTTGGCAGTTCCTTGATACATACTCTAGGATTAGAAGATCCATGCAAATGCTTACAGTTGATGAGAGAAATGGCATGAGTTCAAGGTAGCAGATCTGCAACCTACTCAGTAGCAAATATATTTTGAGTACAAGTAGGAGTTGGGTCAGTGTTTTGCACTTGATTGTTTTAGAAACTGACCTGACAATGGAGCAGGCCTGATTAAAGTGAAAATAATAACAGGGCTTGAGTTGTGATAGCATTGAGACCTTGCTTACAAAAATACTGTGGTGTGGAAGTGAACTTAATCTTGTGTTGAAAGCTTTGAATTCTTTTAATATGAATTAAAGATTGCTTTTTTCTTTGGAAGATAACCTCCTTCAGTTCCTCTAGTTCCTCTGTATGCTGTTTGGTGGAAACCCAGGTTATTTTTTGCCTGATCTAGTAGTCAAAGCTTTTTAGTACCAGTTAATAAATAGGCCTGTTAAAAGAACAAGCGGTTCTGCTTAATCAAGTACTGTCCTTTGTTTTAAAATAGAATGTGTTCTCAGGGGTTTGAATTCCTTCTCATTTGTGCTGTGACAGAGCAGAATTTAGAACCTTTGGTAAATTTTCATGGCTTTATCTAAAATATTTTAAGAGAATCCAGTTGGCTTAAACTAATAGCAGTACAGTTATACCAAGCTGCTCTTAATTTAACTTCATCAGATTGCTCTTCAGCTGTTAGAGACTCAGACAAACTGTGTAAGTTGCAAGCTTGCCTGTGAGTCTGAGTGTTAGTGTTTATTAATTAGCTATGTGCTGATTAATAGAAGTGAAGCCTTTGGTTAGTCTATAGGGCAAGTTATAAGGTACGGGAAGAATGTAGATAACATGAGGTTTCTGACATAGCAGCTATTGACTCAGATCTTCTATGAAATTACATGAATGTAAGTTGATGTTAATTGTGATTTAGAAGTCTTAATAGTCCTGTAGAAGCATAAAATGAACTAAGGGAGAATTGTAGGCCTTTAAGTTTGATAGAAAAGGCTTATGTTAATGCAACTGGAGTAGAGGTTAAAACATAAGAAGCTCTTTATCAATTGTTTATTCACTTGTGTAATGCCTTGTTTCAAAAGACATATGCCAGAGGAAGTATGGATATATCTACTGCCTGTAGTAAATAGGAAGTCATAAAGTAATGCAAGCTTAATGTTTTTTGTGCTTCTGTTTCTTGAACAGCTAATTCCTAGGGAGAGTTTACTGTAGAGAGATACGATCTTAAAACATTCTGTTTTTAGTTTGTACATCAGGCAGTTTTATATTGGTGATCCAGGTTTCCAAGCAAAAGCTTACTAAAAAAGCTTTCCAACACTTCAGAAATAGTAGCAATAGCTGATAATTACAGTGGTCCATAGCAGTTATTTGTGCGTAACTATTCTTCTGATTTGTTAGCAGAATAAGAGCAGTGGTTGGCTTTTGTTTGTTTAAAACTGTTGAACAGGTTAAATGACTTCCCTTGGGCAGCTGAAGGAATATAGAACTTTGGTTCTAGAACTCTCTAGAGGAGAGGTTATCTGGTTGTTTTGATGTGTTAATGTCAACTTTATCATTTGTACTTAGATGAAAGCATATCTAAGTATGGCAGTATTCAAGTTGCATTTATATTTTCTTGAAACTCAACTCTTCTACTACTGCAGTAGTTGTTTTCTTGTCTGTTCAAGTCTAAAGATCATTTCAAAGGTAAATTCTTGGGTAACTTAAACCTATGACTTAAAATACTCTGAAAGCTGCTTTCTGTAACTTGAGGTTTGAAAGCTACTTTGAAATAATAGCGGTGACTGAGGACATGCAGGCAGAAGCAAGATGCAATTTTAGCACATAGGCCTGCTTACTTGAATTTTACATCAGTTCATCGAACTGATTTTTGTCAGCATTCCTCCAAATAGCTCTATGGAAGAGAGCTCTCAACTGAGAAATAATTGTACCTTGTTTAAATGGAGCACACTACTGGATGTGGTAGTGCAGCAGTGGAAATATACTTAATGCCCAAATGCCTTCATATTGTGAAGGTTTTCCATTCTGTATAACAAGTATTGATAATGCATTCTGGTGAATGTTATGCTCATTTAATGTAACATCTGTGTTCTTAATGACACTTTTTTGACATTTCTAGACTTACTAAAGGATGTAGTGCTAAGAGATTTAGCCTGAAAAGGGTAGGTTTAGATTAGATCTAAAGAATATATTCTTTACTCAGAGCATGATGAGTTGTTCAGAGAAATTGTTGATGCCCCCTAGAAATGTTCAAGGTCATGTTCAATGGGACTCCATGCAACCTGAAGGTGTCCCTGCTCATGGCAGGGGATGTTTGAACTTGATCTTACAACCCAGGATGTACTTCAACACTTGACTCTGAGCTCAATGTATCTGCTGGACAGAAATGGTTCTCTTCTTGGGTGCTCATATTTTTGAATGCTTGATATAAATCTTCTTACCTGAGTAAGCGTTTCTAGTGCTTCTGTCAAATCTTTACCAAAACTATTTTTAACTGCTTGTGGCCTGAGCTCCAAGATTGCTAGTCCTTTATTGGAACTCTGACAAGTTTTGTTATTTTATCAACTGCAGGCATTTTCAGTTTCATTGTAAAACATTTTTGCTTCCAGATTGTATGGGGAGTATTCTTCATCATTGTAGCACTGCTCTTCACAGTCTCTCTCTTCTTGTCAAAGTAAGTAAATTTCAACACTTCTTTTAACTACGTGAACTATGCACTTTCTCTTCTAACATCTAACTCAGTTTGGGGTGACTTGCTTCAGGAGCAGTTTCTTTCCTATGATATATTTCTATAACCAGTGCTGCATTTTTCATTGTAATGCATATTGAAATCAAAACGTACTAAAACAATCAAGGGCATGTCTCAGTTTAACTGCATGCTGCTGAAAACAGTTCTAATGTGGTAGAGAAATCATGAACTTTAAGCAAACTTGGTTAAGACTATGGAACTATTGAGTGCTTGAATGAACTTAAGTGTGTAGGTACTTGCTGGGCTGGTTAACAGGTGTTTTTCCTTGTGGTAAATGATATATAATGTGTAATCACGTACATTATAATTGTTTCATATAATTGAAAATAATATAGACAGCTACAAAGTAGAGATTTCAATGAAGATTGTTACCAACGCTTGAAACTTCTGGTTAAGTTTCTTTAATTTTTCAGACTGGGCAAATAAATTATATGGCCTGAACTAAGGAAGAACCAAAACACTGAGGAAATAAAGAAATCAATATAGATTTCTTAGAATGAGTGCAGTGAGTTTTATAGAACAATGGGTCTGTATATGTATGAAACAACTCTTAATCTCTAGGCTTAGTTCAGCTTTTTTTTTTTTTTTTTTTGAGCTGCTGTTTTAAATTTAACAACTCCTGAATAACCATAGAGCTTACCCAGTTTTTCTTAATTTCTACAGTTTAGACAAAGCTCTACATTCAGCTGGCTTTGACTCTGGATTTATAATTTTAGGAACCAATTTGACCAATCCATTGAATATGCTGCTACCTGTTCTTCAAACAGTAAGTAAATTAATTGGTGATGTACAGATATAAGGAAGTTCCTCTGATTATCGAAGCTGCTAAAAGGCATACTGTACTTCTAAGTAACTTCAAGAAAATTGTCTAGATGTGTTCTGTAAAAGTAAGGCAGCTTTTTTACTGATGATTTGTTTTAGCTAATGGATGTAGAATATGAAGATCTTGGGTTGATGAAAGTCATCCAAACAAGAGAAAGGTAGTGCTGGAGGCGAACTGTGATTGGAAAGATGTAGTTGCAGTGTTGATGATGATTGTCACACAAGTTATTACACACAGAATAACAGCAACTTTTTTCGTGTCCTTTTTATTTATGTATGTTTATATTTATTTATATTTGAGTTTTTTTGTTTAATGACTTATGCCTCTTAAGGGAAATGTACCTCAATTTTCAATGTATTTATTACATCCTGTAAAGATATACTATGTTCTGTGCAGTTAGGCATGTTATAATACTGTATTACTCTGAAATAAAATGTGTTTTTTCTCATGTATGAACTCGAGTAGATTTGGAAGACATTTCCACATGAATTTTACAAACATGAAACAGTAATGGTTAAACTAACAAAAGGGAAAGCTTTAATTGTTAGTAGTTTAGTTACCCCTGAATTCTGTCCATAATCACACTGTAATGGTTTGGTACAAAGCATTGCTTACTCAGCAGTTTCAAAAACTATTAACCACTACAGCTTATCGCTGGGAAAAGCAGTGTTCAGCGGTAGCATTATTTCTAACTGTTAAATGCTGTACTCAAGTATGTTCAGAAATAATCACACGCTTATATAGTTTTAAGATTAGTTTTGTTGCTGTGCGTTTTCTGTTCTGAAAGTATTTTTAAAAAGCAGGTATTTTGTGGTCTGAAAATAAGTTTTAAGTTAAGAGAAGCACTTAGCTAGTTTCATAAACTGTAAACTCTGTTAACAGGAAGCCATAATAGCTCTATTTTGGGAGACCTACAAAGCTTTTAAATGACTTACTTCCTCATATGTTTTAGATAAAGCTAAGTAGTTTCTATCTAAGTGGGGGAAGAGCATATCTTCTACTTAAAGATTGTTTTGTCGTTTCAAGTTCTTGTGTGTTTTTTGTTTTTAGGTTTTCCCACTTGATTATATTCTTATTACAACTATTGTTATGTACTTTATCTTCACTTCAATGGCAGGGATTCGAAATATGGGTATTTGGTTCTTCTGGATAAGGGTAAATATCACTTAATTTTATAAAGCACACTATTAGTGTCTGAGAAATGTCCCATGGAATATTTTTGATGAGTAGTTATGTACTGCTTCTGAAATACAGAGATGCCACAAATGTTATTTGTATCTGTAATGTGTGCTAATAGCATACTGTGCAAACTTCTACTGTTTTGGAAAGCTACTCTGTTTTGCATGCTGACAGACAAGACTGTTCTATTGTGATAAGTAATAGACAGTTGACTCCTTTGGTATATGAAATCATTGGCTTCTGGCTCTTTGAAGTTGGAGCCATGTGATTTTGATGCATTGAAATATTAATAAGCTTCTTAAAATCAGAAAAGTGGAGTCAAGCTCGACTTGATTTTTATGTGGCAAGCCAGTTTCCTAGAGTACAGTGATACACCATATCTAAGTATGTGCAAGTAGTATTACTGTATTTAAAGAAACAGCATAGCAATCACACTTGTGATCCTTGGCTGATCACTTCCCCTCTTTTGCTCCTACTTTGCTTTTACCCACAGATACCCTTTTCTGTGGTGATATCCCAGAACTGCAAATGGTGAGAGTAAGTTTTGGCAATGTGCTGAGACTTGTTGCTGTTTTTGGTCTTCATCGTTTACTAGATGCCAGTTTCTTTTCTCTCATGACACTTCATCTGAGCCTGTGGGCATCACAGTGGAGTAGAGTTATCTACAGATAACAGCAAGGGATTATCATCTTCTCTGGAGAAGAAAGTGGAGAAGATGCAGCTCCATCATGCACAGTTGTTTTCAGTACTTAAGAATACAATCTCATGATTCCCTCCTCTGGTTTTGTCTGATTAGAGAAGCAATGATAGATGACATTAGACCTTAGCCAGAGGATGCAGTACTTCTTGGCAAGCCATAGCACTGCTTAATAAATGTGATAAGCAACACTATTTGTTATCTCACTATTTCACTATTAATTGTTCTAGGAAGCTTCCTGATCTATAAATGCTCTGGGTCACTGATACAATTATTTTGATTAAATAGCTACGTTTAGAACTTCATGTAAATACACCTGAAAATCTGCTTTAACTCACTGGAATTAAGTTGCTGGAAGAGAATTTATAGCAGCTTTCCAGTAGAATTGTACTCCTCATTTAGGTTGAGGAGAAAATGGATTATTTATTTTTTTTTTTACCTAAAACCAACTTGATTTTTAATCATTAGCTCTTGTATGTTTTCTACTTGCAGCTTTATAAAATCAGACGAGGAAAAACTAGACCTCAAGCACTATTATTTCTCTGTATGATACTTCTGTTGATAGTTCTTCATACAAGTTACATGATCTACAGTCTTGCTCCTCAATATGTAATGTATGGAAGCCAAAAATACCTGGTACAGGTAAGATGCAACATGGCATGTGTTTTTTATTTACGAGTTTAGTCATACTTATGCAGATTTCTTAAATTGGGTTCATTCTTAGTTCTTAAAGAATTTTCTACTCAGGTTTTTTCAACTGTTACTGAAACTGCTTGGTACTGCATAAGCCTAAAATGGCTATACTATGTATAATGTCACATAATTCCTTGATAATCTCTACACAGTGCCAAACTTTGAATTATGCTTCATTTCTATTAATAAGAAGCTGCAAGCTTCCACTAGATTTTGGAGATAACATGAGTGATTGAAAGTAATGCTGCTTTCCACAGTTAATGTTCTCATGTATATTTGAGATGACAAAGATATAGCCTTGTACAGTAGAGGATATTCAGAAAGCATCTGAACATGCACTGATTAATCAAGTGTAAGGATCAGTTTTTTCAAGTTCTAAAACAGTTTGAATTGGAACAGGAATACTTGACTTTCCAGTAGTTTTCTTGCAAAACCATCTTCCTCCTATCTTGGCTATTTAAGTACTATCAAGTATATTGGAGGCTATCATCTAACTCTTCTACCAGGTTGTAACTGTATTCAATATCATCATTCAAGCCTAGCACTTCAATGGTTTCTTCATCACCAAGGATGAATTCCAAATTCTGTTCATGAAAACATAAGACTTACTCTTAGATACAAAGTATTTTGCCCAGGCTTTCAAAGGGCATAACTTGTTCATTTCTTCTAAATGAAAGCAGAATTTTTCATGTGAAACTAGTCTTAAATGACAGCTTCTTTATGTACTGTTCAAAATCTAAGTTCCTTCTAAATGCATAAGTTCATCAAAGCTTCTTTTTTTAAAAATAAACTAGTACTATACTGAAAAATGCTTATTTGAGGGAGTGTGGACTAACTTTATGTATTTACATAGAGTAATAAGACAATTGATGGCCAGCCAAAGAATGTCACAGCATTTGTAGTGAAAGACTGTGATGCAGATGCACCTGAAGGTAAGAAACTCGTTTCTTGTGTATACAGTAATATGAAGTGTGTGCATAGGTGAAATAAGGAGCTCAAATTTTTTACTTTGATTTTGTGTTCTAATGAGATTTTAACATACAGTTATGTCCAGAAAACATACTACTGACAACTTACTGAAGTTTAGTAAAAGCGGTTCAATGGTGTATTGCAGTTAACTTTAGTCTATGTTTTAATATGTACGTAGAAGATCTTAATAAACTCAAGGCTGTGAATAGCTTAGCATTTTAGCATCCGAAATGTCATAGTGCATGTTTACTATCCAAACATTCAGTGAAATATTCTGTCAACATTTGTAATGTACTCAAGAAAATGAAGATCTGAACTTCTCAGTGCCAATTTGCAAATAAAGAGAATTTTGCAGTTAAGGCGTAAGTACAGGCTGTTCTGTGAGCAACAATACTTGAAGACCTTGACATTTTAGACTATTGTCCTGCAATTCTCTTAATTTCTCTTGCATCCAGTGTTATTAACCATCCCTTTTTGACTGCTGTTGTACTGTAGATAATATGGAGCTGTGAATAGTGACTAGCAAGCAGATGAATAATGAGGGAGCTTTTCCTGACTTTTCTATCTTTTGCGATCAGTTTTTGAGACAGTTTCTGTAGATACCACTCTTTCTTGACACTGGCCTTGAGCTGGGAATTTCTTTAAGAAACCTAGCTAGCCAAGCTAATAATCTGGACTTTTTTCAGCATTTTCTCCTTTTTTCTTTTGCCCATAACCAATTCTTGAACCATTTGAATCAAAACAAGTGCTTCAATATTGATGCTGCAGTTTTAGGCCCCTATCAATTTTTGATTGTTTTGACCTTATTTAAAAGAAGTCAGCTCAGCCAAAGATACATGGCCTTCAGTATGGTTCATGTTTTTTCGTTGAAGCTCTCAGTTGTTTTCTCTGGCACTTTCAGCTTCTGTGTAGTAAGTTAAATTGAGTATGCTTTAATATATTTAAAAAAAAAAAAAGTATCTAATCAATACAAAAGATAGACAGTGCTCTTAAGTCTTCTATTCTCACCTTACCAATTAAGTACTGAACCCCGACTTCTGGAACATCTTAGTGACTCCTCAGCTTCTGTTCTCATTTGTGTTATTGGGAAGGATGTTCAATTTTAAATGTTTGTAGAAGTGAAATTAACTGGATGTATGATCTGTTCTCAAGTTTTTGATCTTTTGCAGTGTATTTCCCATGTATGTACTCACCTCCAATTTAATATATTGGTTTCTATTCGTATTTCTTTTGTCATCTACCATGAGTGGTGGATTTTTCTAGACTCCACTGAAATAAATTGTTCATTCACATTTTTGATAGCTGCTTTTAGCCATAATATAGTCTGAGATGCTTTGATATATATGTTTTTTTTTTAGGGATGTAATGATTCAACTTGTATTGAAACTGCAATACTGCTAAAATTAACTCTTCCGTGGCAGAGTTCAGAAGAGTAAAATCAGTTGTCTTTGAAAATGAGATCACTTAGAAGTTTTTCTAGATCTTTCTTGTAAGCAGCTTCTCAGTTTGGTTAATACTTGCTGGAGGAAGAATGTACTCTGTCATTGATAAGCTCATTAGTCTTGACTTCTCTGGAGAAATTTGGGGTTGATCTTAATCAGACTTTCCTGTTAAATTTAAGGAAGTGAGATTGGGCTGAGAAGTTTCTTAAGTTCTACCTGTAGTTGGTGACATTCATAAGTACTTTACCTACTATGATTTTTTTCCTAACTTTTTTTTGTGCAATGGAAACGATATAGCTGATGCGTAAAGCTTGTTTTCTGATGTGCTTGAACACAAGAGTTAGCTGTGTAAATGAAATGATGGCTTTAGTTTATTAACATCATTGCAGTAGGTATCTTTGAGTCATGCTCTCCTTCTTAATTGGAAAGAGGAGGTGCAGGTATTGACATGCTGTCCTGTGCAAGCCTAATCTAAGTAGAGGGTGATTTGATTTTTTTTTTTTAGATGTGAATACTAATGTGATCCAAAGGGTATAGTAGAATTCTATATCTATAGATGCAGTCAGGTTGCTAAGGTCATACTATAGATGAAAAAGTAAAAAACAGTAAATCTGTTAATGAAAGCCATTCACTATTTCACCTAGTTGACTGGGCTGCATTAAAAAGGTGAAATGTAGTACTTGCCTATGAAATACCTGCTATTTTAATATCTGAAGGTAATTTAGTGGAAGAACTGGTTCAGATCTACGTGATAGCTAGAAAATGTTATATGACACTTGCATCAAAGTTAGGAACTGGATTTTTAATGTTCTTTTTATAGGAATACTAGATGCATAGTAAGCACAGATGTAATGAACTTTAGAAGTGGTGACAAGCACTTTTTTTTATTGACCGCTTTGCTGCTAGGGCTTTATCTTACGAAAACCACTGAACTAGAGCTAAGTGCAAATATTGATTTGTCGTCTCAGTGCTCATTGTATTGTTTTTCTTGACTGAATTCATTCTGTTTTTCCTTAAAGCTATAACCTTTTACTGATTGATAGATACACCTATAGCTTCAGCTCAATTTTACTGAATACTTGGATACTGCAGACATCATGACTACTGTATTTACACTATTTCTCAGGTGGTAGAAAAGATTGGATCTTGTTTAAGCAGCTAATACTCAAACTTAAGTACTGTTAAAACTTAAGTATTTGGAACTGTTTTCTGTATGCTTGCTTCATACTGGCGTTCACTTCGAGAGGTATGATTGTCTTCCAAAAAAATGAGATGGATGAAATACAATATTAGTACAGAAAAGTAAAGTATTTAGACTTAAATATGTAATTTGTAGATTCAATTACTGTTTGATTTCATACATTAAACCTTGTTATTTCCTTAAATTATTTGAGGCAACTTGCTGTATACTGGATGCCATAGTCTATAATAGCACAACCTCAGACAAATAGACAAACCAGAAGTAATAGAAAGAACTATTTTCTAACTCAATAAAAACACTTTTTCTTAGTTGTGCTTCAATACTTTGTGCAAAAGACTTGTTCTGGTTAATACACAATTTCTTGTAAAGCTTTTAAAATGGTCTTTGGGACTGTGAATTGCCTATTTCTTATATGCAAAACAAACATTATTTTTGTTTGCGGTTGAGCAAAGATCTCATTTGTTGTTCTTAAGGACTAATGCTAGCCGAAGTGCTGGGTCTACAGTTCTTTAAGGTCAAAAATGGCTTAATTATGTGATTAAGAACTTTGCCGCTGTACTAATGAACTGAAAATGTGATAAAGGTTAAACTCAACTGGTTAACAGGGCTTACTGTAAATAATGTAAATGAACAATGATTCAACTGAAAGCTTTAATCCCAGTCTTCCTATCCTTGATTGTGCGATGTTATAAACAGTGTCTGCCTCTTGTTAGGTCAGAAGTCATGAAAGCGTTTGTATAATACAGGAAGCATTGTTCACTTTAAGTGTATAGCATGCTATGAATAATCTTGATTTGGATTTCTTGCTTCACTTAATTGGAGAAATGAGGCTTTTCTGAGGTCCGTTAAATGCTGGGCACAGTCTATCTGCTGAGATTTTTCCATAGACCTGTGCTGACTTGAACTGTTATTTATGGAGAGAAATGGCAAAAAAACAAACAAACAAATAAAAACAACATCTCAGGCTTAATCTGAGCAGACCTTACTGTGCTCATTAGGTTTGTGTTTTCTTCTCAGACTGTCCTGTCATCTGGAAGTCAATAAATGCAGGTTTTATACTGGCCTGAATAAATAGATTTAAAAAATAGAGTTAGGCCATAAGTTATAAGGAAGTTCCAGGTGGGAATGCCAAATGGGAGTGTGTTCTGTTTATTATTTTAATATAGAAGTCCAGGAGATGTGTGGGGTGAAGGTTGTGTGAAGCTTTCTCATGTGTATATTGAAGAATATACTACTTCTGAAGAATCCTAGTCTATAGATGACACCAGTTGGTGGATTTGACTGAATTTTTGAAGGCAAAAAGAAATCACAAAGCCTGAACAGGAGGAGGCTTTTAGGAAGAACTTGATCCTTTCTTCTGTTAACTTTCTGAGTGACCTAACCTGGTGCTTTGCCCTCAGTCTCTACTTATATCTTACATTATGGAACTTCTCCATAATCATGACAAATCAATTTAAGTAAGCACCATGATGCATGTTTGACTCCAGACAGTCCTATTTATCAGCTGTAATTAGTGGAGTAGCTAAAATTCAATAAATAGTATCTGAATTATCAGATAGTCATGACTGGGCTAAAGTCGGCTGTATGTATGATAGAGACAGAAGATGTCAAAGGATGGGAACTTGTTTTGAGAGCATCATTAGTGCCAGAATTTCTAATCACATCCAGATTTTATTTAAAATTTGGCATTGGGACACTTAAATTTAACTCTTTAATGATATTCATAACTTCCTTTGTTCTCTAGAGAATAATACAGGTATTCCAACACTGATATTTGATCTGCTTTTGTAGATGCCTCTATGTATTAACTGGCTATGAAGTTATCGTAAGGACAGAAGTGTTTCATGTGTAGGCATTAAAGGATCAAGATCAGTCTGCTAAAATATCAAATGCTTTCTTCAAATCTTTTTCCATGTAGATGGAAAGGATAGGTAAGGTAGAGAAAGTATGAAAATAGAAGTAAACAAAATGAGAAAAATTAATGCTGAAGGTCAAGTGGTGTAGTGTAGTTTCAGGGAATCTGAGCTAGTGCAAGATGAAGTTTGTGCAAAGTTGATACTGTTAAAGGAGGTAGGTGGTTAATCAGAAGTGCTTTGATTAAAGTGAAAGTGATAGTTTATGCTGTTCATTGATTCCTTGCTTTCTGGAATCTTGCATCTATGCTCATATCTAGGATATTGCCTTCAAAGTTAATATTTATCTTTATGATCTTTAAAGTAGGAATTGATAGCTGTGAGTTACTTTAAATGTGTTCGGAGAAGATTTCCAGAAAATAGCTCTTGCAAATGATCAAATTAAGTCTGTGATTTAAAAACAGGAA